AATTATGCTAATAAGGTGATTAATATGCACAAATATTTACCCAAAGACTAATTAGGTCTCTGCACAGTCCTCAAGTAACTATTGAAACGTGATCATTGCTACTCAAAATATCAAAAGCTGAAAATGTATTAATTATGCAAATTAGGTAATTAATATGTACTGATATTACCCTAAAAACTATCAGGTCTGTGCAGTGTCATATGACACCTATGTACCAAGTTTTATTGAAATGTTATGATTAGTACTTGAGATATCAGTGGAAAAACCGAAAATTGATTAAATCATTATGTAAATTAGGTAATTAATAATATTAACAGATTTTTACCCAAAACTAATCAAATCTGCGCATTAGTTCAGAGCATCCATGTGCCAAGTTTCATTGAAATCCAATGAGTGGTTCTTCAAAAATCAGTGGAACAGCTTAAAATCAGTTAATTATCATGCAAATTAGGTAATTAATATTCATAGATTTTTACCCAAAACTAATCAAATCTGCGCACTAGTTCAGAGCATCCATGTGCCAAATTTCATCAAAATCCAATTAATGGTTCTACAGATATCAGTGGAACAGTCTTGAAACAGCTAAAAATCAGCTAATTATCATGCAAATTAGGTAATTAATATTCATAAATTTTTACCAAAACCTAATCAACTCTGCGCATTATCCCAGAGTATCTATTTACCAAGTTTCACCAAAATTTGATTAGTGGTTCTTGAGATAACGGTGGAACAAAAAAAGTGACATACATACATACATACATACATACATACATACATACAGACATACAGACAGGGTAACTGCGAAGACTCCCTTTTGTGCTTCGCACACGGTCCAGATACCACATTTAAAAAAAACAACAAGATGCCTGCCAGTCGGCCATCTTTGATCCAATTGCGAAAGAAATTGTCATGATCATGTATCCTAACATGTATAATCTATGTGCCAAGTTTGAATGAAACCTAACAAAGCATGTCCAAAATACAACATTTTCAAAAAACAAGATGGCTGCCAGTCGGTCATTTTGAATCGAATCGCTAAACCACTGCATGTGCATATGTCCCACATAAAGTACTAGGCACATGCAAAGAATGAACAGAATCGGTCCAAAGGATTCTGAAATATGACTCCGGATGGACGCACGGACGGATGGATGCACGGACGGATGGATGCACAGACGGATAGACGGGTGCACGGACGGTCGGAAGACATGTATACTAACATGTATAATCTATGTATCAAATTTGAATGAAAACTGACAAAGCATGTCCAAAATACGATATTTAAAAAAAAAACAAGGTGGCTGCCAGTCGGCCATTTTGAATCGAATCGCTAAACCACTGCATGTGCATATGTCCTACATAAAGTACTAGGCACATGCAAAGAATGAACGGAATCGGTTCAAAGGATTCTGAAATATGACTCCGGACAGACGGACGGACGGACGGACAGAGACCGAACTATAAGTCCCTGTTTTTGGACTTCGTCCGAACGGGGACTAATAATCAGATAATGAGGGCAAAATAACACAACTAGGTGTAACCAGGCACTATGTGAAGTCAGAAGATAACATAAAATTTAGAGTCAGAGCAATAAACATGAAATATCAATTCAAAACATCAACTTACAACACTCTCTATCTCCTCCTCCATCATGTGCGGTCCTCCCCTTGATGTTTCTAGTCTCTGATTGGCTAGTTTATGGAGCTTGCCAGGAATAAAGTAACGAAATGGAAATGGCAGTGCGTTGGCATACCAAGTACGTGTAAACTCTACATAGTTCTTGGCATCTATCCACCATGCGTACAACTGTTAGAGATGAAAGTAATAAGTAGGTACAGTATTCTGAAACCCGATGTAGTCCCCTACACTGCTTTAAAGTAGCATTCACACTTCGCAAATCTATAAGGTCCCATCCCTTGCCCAATATACTGCCAGTTAACATGCACACTTGGATTATTCCTAAAATATAACCTTTGACATACAAGTTATACCCACATATCTGAAAGCCTTCAAATTTCAAGCATTTTTCTCACAGCTATGCAGCATTTAAGTTGGATATTACTTATAAGCAACTAAATTAGAAAAGTCAAAGACATTGAATTGAAGTAAAAGAAGTAAAAGCTCCATGTAGTTATACAGGCAAGTACTAGTAGTTGTTGAAAGTATCATATGCAAATTACTTCCTAATTTGGAATTTTAAAACCATGTATGCAGATCAAAGCATCATATGCAAATTACTTCTAATATGGAATTTTAAAACCCTGTATGCAGATCAAGTACTGTTGGTCATGCAGACATATTTGATTTTATTTGCTAGAATTGAGTGCCAATTGTGTTGAACTCTTCTCTGTGTTCAGTGTCCTCTAATGTCATCACCATATTGGAAGTGCATCTTCAATAGAAGTGCATATAAACATTTATTGTAGAATGAATTATTGAAATATTACATATTTTGAGTATATAAACACCTCTGTATTTTACATATTAATTGCATTAACAAAGCAAATATTGTATGGCTTTAGTCCCAGGGCAATCATCGATTTATAGCAACCACAACAGTTTACTTCTATTTTGCTTATTCAAAATTAAAGTACTGGAATTTATTTTCGCTATTTTCGCTGAAGGAATGATTCAGTAAAAATAAAATCCAGTGAATATACATTTTTTCCTATATTTTACATTAAACTTGTCAAAAATCAATGAAAATAAATTCCACACAAAACACCTAGAAGGTCTTTTCAGCGAAAATTAATTCCAGCTAAAATAAAGTATTTTACAGTACATATTTAATATATGATGTAGTGTCATTCATCATACCTGGCTTGTAGATTTACATGCCTAAATAATTTCCAATTATATAAAATCAATCAATAATTACAAAAATTATGACTGAATATATCATACATTCTTATTATAATAATAATAATGTTTTATTACATCGTGATGAAATTGCAAATTCATTTT